GACTACATATCATTCTGTTTATTCAAGGGACTCTGATCATCATGAGATTTTGGTAATAGGAAAAGCTCTCACCAAGAACACAGCCTCTGTAGAATCTAAGTTTATTCATTACCACTTAAGAATTTAAGAATTCTTCTGCCTCCACAGGTTACTTTGCCACTTGTACACTAACCACAGATCTGTATTCATAGCATAGTTTTTGAAAGCATTGTTTATTGCCTAACATATCCACATTTATTTGTCACTGCCCATCACCCAACAGATCATCAGCTAGATCATGGTAGAATACTTTGGCTTCCTTACTTCGTAAGGTGAAAGTGATTGGTTCATCTACACACCTGCCACATATATTTACTTATAAAATCCCCCCACATTCTTTTACCCCCCTGCCCTTTGATCAACCTGATACAGAGAACTAGAGTTCATGATAGATATGCTGAGCTCTTGTTGATGCCTTTGCCAGCTGCATGTCAGATACAGTGAGAGGGTAGGTATGACCCAGGAGAGGAGTTCATGTGACTTCAGTCTATTCCTAAGAATCTGATCCCAGAATACTCAGAGTCTCACCAGGTAAACTCAGCAAACCCTGCCTTGTTTACTGGGAAGAAAGACTGACATTGTGAGGATGGTGCCTTTTAAGCTTTATATGGATAAAGACACATGGCAAAACCCTTCCACTGTTAATGGCAGTCATCCAGGACTTACCTTATTTGTTCCCAGCTTGCAGTAACCTTTATTTTGCTTCTGACTTCTGGACTACTGTTTATATTTAGCAAAAGTGCCAGGCACTGTGCTAGGCATTGGGAATACAAAGATGAATAAAACATGGTTCCTCTCCTTGAGGAGCCTCCAGTGAGAAGTCTCTTCACTGAGAATACAACTATGTAAACAAATTTAACTATATTAATGAATAATTTAACAGATATGCTTGGGCTACTATAGGTCCACAGAAGAGGGAAGTCCTGATTGCCTATGGAGAACAGGGAGAGTTTTTTAGAGGAAGTAACACACAAACTGCTAATTTTAAAAAATAGGAATTGACAAGAAAGTGAGGGGAATTTTATTCAGAATATATAGAGATGAGGTGTGAAAAAGCATTTCTTGTTTAGGACTATAGGTTCTTCAGAATAGCTAGAGCACATGTGTTACGTTAAGGAATGGTAGGACATGAGCCTGAAAAGGAAGAATTTGTACACCTTGAGTAGGCCATGGTGAATCATTAAAGGATTTTAATTGGGGAGGAATATGATATTTGTGGTTTTGCAAGATAACTCCATGTTATTGCTAATTATTTACAATTGGAAAAGTTTGGGACCACATCATATGTCCATTGTAAATTACCAGAGATAATTGAAGGGTAGCAGAATATGCCTATTTGACATAAGGATTATTTTGAGCTGATTATTTTAAGAAATACAGACATAGGAGAAGCTCTGAAGCAGAATAGGAGTTACCCTTTTGTAAGGTACATTCACACTTTTGAAGAAAGCCTCCATTTTTAAGTATCTTCCTCTCTGTATCAGGAAGAGAAGGGTGACTAAATCACAAGAGACTTAAAGATGGCACTGACTTAAATCTGCATAACAAACCTTACTCTTGTTTACTGTGTTTTTCCTGGTACCTTCCCAATACTGGCCTCTCCCATAACAACTTTCTTTTGTCTTTATCTGAAGATGGTATTTAAGGTGGTGGCTTAGGCTCTCTCAAGGAATTAACTCCTTTTTTTTCTGGTTATCTTCCATGTATATGTCAGGTATACATGTTAATAAAATGGTTTGTTTTTCTCTTGTTAATCTGTCTTTCATTATAGGGGATCTCAGCCAAGAACTCATAAGGGTAAAAGGAAAATTATTTTCCTTTCCTACATAAGGGTCAAATAAAGGGTGGCAAATCCATACAACAGAAATTATATAGCCTTTACATATTTCCTAAAAATACATAAGGAAATAGTTTATGACAGATATTAAATGAAAACACTTGAGTATAAGTCCTAAATATATGGAAAGATATACCATATTAATAAATGGAAAGACTCAGTTTCATAAAGAATTTAGTTTTTTCCAAATTGTTTTATAGGTAAATGCACCTCTAATTTTATTTTATTTTATTTTATATTTTTTAAAGATTTTATTTATTTATTCATGAGAGACAGAGAGAGAGGCAGAGGGAGAAGCAGGTTCCCAAGGAGCAGGGAACCCGATGTGGGACTCGATCCCAGGACCCTGGGATCATGACCTGAGCCGAAGGCAGACGCTTAACCATCTGAGCCACCCAGGCGCCCTGCACTTCTAGTTTTAAAGCAACTGACATGATGATTTTAAAATTTATGGAGGGTGGTGAGCCTGGGTGGCTCAGTCGGTTAAGTGTTTTGACTCAGGTCATGAGATCGAGCCCCATGTCGGGCTCTGCTTGAGATGCTCTCTGTCCTCTGTCCCTCCCCCAACTCGTGATCTTTCTCTAAATAAATAAAATCTTTTAAAAAAATAAAATAAAATTTAGAGGGAAGAAAAAAGACCCAAGAACACATATAGCACTACTGAAAAAGAAGAGTAAGATATCGAGACTTCCCCTATAGAAATCAAGAGTTTTTATAAAACTATAAAAATTAAAAACAGCATGACATTGACTTGGGAATAATTAAACTGAACAATGGAATAGAATATAGAACCCAGAAGTAGACCTATGAATATGTAAAAACAATGTGTCACTAAGGTGACATTGCATTGCAAATAATGAGGGGGAGAAAAGACTACTAAATAGTGTTGGGACAACTAGGTAGCCATATTTTTAGAAAATGAAATTGGATCCCTACTTCAGACTCTATACAAAATTCTAGATGAATTAAAGACTTAAATGTGAAAGATCAAACTAAAAATTTAGAAGACAATGAAAGAGAATATCTGTGACTTCTGGGTAGAGAAGATTTCTTAAATAAAAAGCACTGAGAATAAATAAAAACATTGGTAAATTTGACAATATTGAAAATTTTAAGTTGTGTATCATATAATATAAAGAAGGGGAAAAGGCAAGTCTAAACTGGGAGAAAATACAAATAGTTGACAAAAATTAATGTCTAGAATATATAAGGAAATTCTACAAATGAGAAAAAGAAAAGGAAAATCTAATAGAAAAATGGACAAAAGACATACCCATTTGACAGAAATGGAAACGTGGCTTAAGAGTGTCAGTGTCCATAATAATCAGAAAAGTGCCAAATTTAGACCACAGTGATACTCATTTGAATGCTACTAGAATTACAGTAATTAATTTTTACCTTTTCTCCCACCCACCTCAGACAACTGTACTTTAAACTTTTTTTTTTTTTTTTTTAAGATTTTATTTATTTGACAGAGAGACACACAGTGAGAAAGGGAACACAAGCAGGGGGAGTAGGAGAGGGAGAAGCAGGCTTTCCGCTGAGCAGAGAGCCCGACACAGGGCTCGATCCCAGGACTCTGGGATCATGACCTGAGCTGAGGGCAGATGCTTAACGACTGAGCCACCCAGGCGCCCCTGTACTTTAAACTTCAGCACACTGATGTTTTTGAAATTTTCTTATATCATTTTCTTTTATTATCTGGTTGCCAGTGTGTACAGTACTTGGTGTTTGCCAATGTGTACAGTACTTTGTGTTGTTCTCGCCCAGAAAACTCTTCCTTCCTTTAGTGCAGCAGTTCTTAAAAGTATGGTCCCTAGACAGGCATTAACAGCACCAACAGAAATACACATATACTGGCCCCACCCCTCAACTATCTTTTCAAGGATGTGTAGTGAATAGTTTTATAGGTTAGAGATAGTATTTTCCTCTAGAGCACAGGGCAGGTTTGGTTGCAGCCCATTATAAAAATTAGGGATTCCTAAGCTCAGGGTTCCTTTCCTATAATACACCTCACTGTTTCTGCTGATATTACCTAGCCTTTTCCCCATAACCGTGTGGGAATTGGATTTGAGGAATTGCTGCAAGAGAATGAGGATCCTGGGGTGCCTGGGTAGCTCAGTCATTCAAGCATTTGACTCTTGATTTTGGCTCGGGTCATGACCTCAGGGTTGTGAGATTGAGCCCCACTTTGGGCTCTGCACTCACTGGGGAGTCCGCTTGAGATTCTCTCTCCTTGTTCCCCTCCACCTGTGTTCTCTCTCCTCTAAAACAATAAATCTTTAAAAAAGAGAGAGAATGAGGTTACTTCTCTTGCTGTGAGTAAAAAAACAAGTAAAAAAAAACATTCTTTGTCCTCTGATCCAAGAGTCTTATGTCTTTTGTTAAATCCATTAAACTGTGGCAGGCTAACTTTTTTTTTAGCTTGCAAATACAGTAAAACCATAGGCCTTTCACAGTTCTTGACACAAGTCTTCTTTCATGTAGTTAGTGCCCTGAAATGGGAACCATTGCTTTTAGTAATTGTTAATAGAGTTAAATAACAAAAATTCAACCGAGTAAATTTAAAAATCAGATTGGCTTCATTCAGTGAATCATGAATTGGGCAACATCCCAATTAGCAAGGGAAAGGAGCTCCACCAAACTGTAGAAAAGGGGGTTTTTAAAGGCAGGTGGAAAAAAGAAATTATTTGCAAAGAATGCATTGTTTCAGGCAAGATTGCCTTCCTGAGGGGAAAGGAAGGGATTTATTGGGTGGATTATTTATTTCACTAGTGCTGACCAGGTAATTTGGTGTTGACTGGTTAAAGGTTACATACATTCAAAGGGGTTGAAAATGTAGTTAGGTTAGATATTAAGCTTTGGTTTACTGATGTGGGGTTTAGCACAAATGACTCCATTTTGGGTGTTCTGTCTCCTTTTTAACAGTAGGAAGCATAGTATTGCAATCGGAAGCATGGTATTGAATAAGCTCAATGTATAACAAGACAGATATTTTTCAGTTTCAAATTTTAACTTTCAAATATTCGTTAGAGTGTCTCCATTAACCTAGTTTCATTTCTGTCTTTAATTTTCATTCACTAGACGTTTCTACATTGTCCTGTTTGCTGTTTCTTTTTATCAGATTGTGGCACTATTAGAAGAAGCTGGGTTGATCTAGACACAGACAGATGGCTGAAAATGGCAGAAAAGAAAAAATAAAATGGACAACCACTATTATTATTAGCTCATCTCTTAAGGTAAAGAGGCATTTGGGCCATTGATCTTTAATTTAAAAATTAAAAGCAATAGAACAATATTTTAAAAGATTCTTAGCTTGATTATCCAAAGTTATATGGATCTGGAAGAACATAAACTAAATGTATTTTATTTATTTGTTTATTTTTATTTATTTATTTTTTTAAAGATTTTATTTATTTATTTGACAGAGAGACACAGCGAGAGAGGGAACACAAGCAGGGGGAGTGGGAGAGGGAGAAGCAGGCTTCCCGCTGAGCAGGGAGCCTGATGTGGGGCTCCATCTCAGGACCCTGGGATCATGACCTGAGCCAAAGGCAGACGCTTAACGACTAAGCCACCCAGGCGCCCCAAACTAAATGTATTTTAAAGATAAATTCTCAACTTTACTGCATCCATTTTCAACATCCTACTTCTCTAAATATTTGAAGATTGGAAATTTTTTAAAGTTCTTATGTTTCTCTATAAGCCTGTTCTAATAGAGATGTTAAAGGATTTGAGAAGCAGTAATGCGCACATGTATATTACTTGTTTTCAAAGAAATAAACCACAGAAACTGATCTGTGTACCTTAGTGGAGTTAGAGGGAGGCTGTCTCCATACAATTTGGGTGGGGAAGGGATGGAAAGTTGAATCCATGAAGGCAGTTGGTCAGTCCACAACCATTTTTAGCTCCTCAGCCAACAGGATTTCTCCATTGCGCTGGTATTTATCTATGGACACTAGCTGATGTCTAGAGGGGAGGGGCAAGAAATGACTGTTCCACAGTAAAGATGAGAGAGGCAAGAATAAGACTAAAAATAAGATTTTTTAATCCATTCTATCCTCCCACTGCTACCTCAGGCTGCACTTTGCCCCAATGGCTTTCGCCATCTAGCTCCATAACACAAACCAGTTTTAAGACAGCCTTAAGTCTCACTGTTTTTTTTGTGCTTCTATTTGTTAGGTTTCTGGAATTCCTGTTTTTTTCTTAATTCTGTGTCTTTTTCAGACTGATTTTGAGAGAGGGAGCCAGCAACCCATGCTAATTTGCCAAGAACAACTACTTCATAATTCATTTATTATGTTTAACCATCTTGCTTTGTCCTATTTCTTTTTTATCTCCTTGTCACTTTTTGTATTGATTGGTTTCTCTCTCTTTCTCTACCCCTCTCCCTCCCTCTTCCCTCTCTCTGTGTCCCTCTCCTTTCTTCCTTTCCTTATTATATGCTCTATTTCTACTTCTTTCTTCCCTTCCTTATTATATGCTCTATTTCTACTATTTTAGTAGTTTCCCTAGAAATTTTAACATGCATACTTATCTCCACAAAATCCACAGTGAATAATTACCTTTATTTTCCTCTTAAGGGACAAAAGAATCTTAGAACACTTTAATTCCAGTCATCCCTTTCTGTGTTACATCCTGTTTTTATATTTAGTTTAATTCTATTTTTTAACTTTTCTAAAGTTAGCATTTGTTTATATACTCATGTCTTTGCTACTGTTTTTGCTGTCCTTTCCTTCTTTTGGTTCAGACCTCCCAATTTAAATCACTTTCTTTTTATCTGAAGAATGTAATTTAGAAGTTACCTCAATGAGTATCTTCTAGAGGTAAAAACTTATTCTCAGTTTTTGTTAATATCAAAATATTTCTATTTTCCCCTTGATCTTGAAAGATATTTTAAAGGGCAATTTAATTGACGTATAACTTACATACAATAAAATGCACACATTTTAAATGTAGTTTGATGAGTTTTGACAAATGTGTATACCTGTGTAACCACCACCCTAATCAAAATATAGAACGTATGCATCAGTCCAGAAAATTCCTTCATGTAGTCATTTGTGGTCATTTCTTTTCTCACTCCTTGCCTGAAGCAACTATTGATCTGATATTTATCACTATAATTAGTTTTGCCTGTTCTAGAGCGTCATATAAGTGGAATAATATAGTTGGTACTCTTTTGTGCCTTGCTTTCATGTTATTGCATATAACAATTTGTACCCTTTTATTGCTGGGTAGTAGTTTGGTGTATGAGTGAGTATACTACCCCAATTTATTTATCTGTTCACCAATAGATGGACATTTGGGTTTCCAGTTTTTGGCTGTTATGAATTAAAGCTGCTCTTAACCTCAGTATAGGTCTGTATGTTTTTTACATTAGGTTTCATTTCTCTTGTAAATACCTAGTAATGGAATTGCTGGGTCATAGGGGTCATATGTTTATTTTTATAAGAAATTGCACAACTCTTCTCAGGTTCAGTACAAATGAGCACTGAATCTATTTAACTGTGTAACTAAAATAAAAATAAATGTGGGGATTATGGTTTTATATTCCCATCAGCAATGTATGAAAATTCCAGTTGCTCCAAAGTGAAAGATATTTTTGCTAGATTTACAGATACTTTCTTACAGCATATTGAGGAACTCATTTCACTAGATTCTGACTTTCATTGTTGCTGTTGATAAGCTAGCAGTCAGTTTGTCACTTCTTTGAAGATTACCTGTCTCTCCTCTTTGACTGCCTTTCAGATTTTGGTATTCTCTAGGTTTTTGTTTTGTTTTGTTTTGTTTTTTTTAAAGATTTTATTTACTTATTTGACAGAGAGACAGCGCGAGAGGGAACACAAGCAGGGGAAGTGGGAGAGGGAGAAGCAGGCCTCCCGCCGAGCAGGGAGCCCGATGCGGGGCTTGATCCCAGGACTCTGGGATCATGACCTGAGCTGAAGGCAGTAGCTTAATGACTGAGCCACCCAGGTGCCCCTGGCATTCTGTAGTTTTAAGGTATAGATTTTCTTCTTCTTTTTTTTTTTTGAGGTTTCATGAATCTTTGAATTGTTGTTATTATCAAGTTCTTATTCATCATCTCCTTTATTCCCTTGCTCCTTCCTGTCTGAACTCCCATTAGATGTATGTTAGATCTTCTCACAATGTTCTCTATGCATTTTGACCTCTCTTTCACTTTTTCTGTCTTTAGGTTGCAGTCTAGGTAATTTCATCCGTTCTGTCTTCCCTGTCAGTATTTCTCTCTACTCCTATTAAACTCATCCATTGGAAGGTTTTTTGGTTTTTTGTTCTGTTTCGTTTGACTTTTTTCAGCTTATGAAAGATACATAGAGAAAAGTACACAAAAGTATATATGAACCATTTAATGGAGTTATTGTAAAAAGAATACCATGTAGCCAATCAGGTCAACAAATAGAACATTACTAATTCTCTTTTCACTTCAGGACTTTTATTAATTATATCAATGATCAAATACCAATTATATTAGATATTTATAATTTATTAATTATATCAAATGTGTATAACACCTATACTTTTTCTGTAGCTGTAATTCCCACATTTATTTTCATGTTAGTTACACAGTTAAATTGATTCAAGATATATCTTTGGGTTTTTTTTCAAGTCTTTATTTTTCTCAGGTATGATTTAAAAAATTTTCTTCATATTGTTCCTATTTCATTTTAAGTACTGTAGATAGTTGATGTTTTTGTTGCTGTTATGGAATATTGTTTCCCCATGTTTTCAATCTATAAGTAGCAACTTTTGAGTTTGTGGTAATTTATTTTTAATCACTTCACTGAATTTTCATGATACATTATCAGTTGATTCTATTGGATTTTCAAGGGAGGCAGTCATAATTTGTGATTAGAATTTCTGACAGCTGTATCTCATGGCCTTTTGCTGTAACCAGAGCATCTAAAATAGTGTTTCTGATTTTAATGGGAATACTTCCAGTGTTTTATTACATATGATGTACCTGTTGCTATAAAATATTTGTTGTGTTAATATTCATCTAAGCTTAATTTATAAAGGTTTTCTCTTCATCAGAAATAGGTGTACAGGGGCTCTAGGGTGGCTCAGTCAGTTAAGCGTCTGCCTTCGTCAGCTCAGGTCATGATCCTGGAGTCCCAGGATTGAGTCCCACGTCAGGCTCCCTGCTAAGCATGGAGTCTGCTTCTCCCTCTGACCCTCCCCCTTCATGTGCTCTCTCTTTCTCTCTCTCAAATAAATAAATAAAATCTTTAAAGAAAAATAGGTGTTCAGTTTCAAGTGCATTATTTTTTGTTGTCTGTTGAGAAGAACTTAAGTGACTAATCTTTGCATTTCTTGATTAAACTAGTTGATCGTTATGGGTTTTTCTTTCATAGTCTCTTAAAATTTGGTTTTCTAATATTTTATTTTTGAATCCTTATTTACTAATGATTAGGCTGTGGTTTTCTCTTTCTGTGCTATTTTTGTAGGCAAGAGGGGGTTTCCTTTTCCATACTTTTTTTTCATTCCTTTTGTTTATATCTGTGAAGTTATATAGTACGGAAATTATTTGTTCTTTAAGGTAAAAGCTTTTCTATTAAATTTTCTGTGCTGATAATTTTTTATGAACTGTAGAAAAATAGTGATTTCTATGGTTTTTGCTCTGTTAAGTTTTATACTATGAGTCTATTTTTATAAATTATATATTTTAAAAAATTTACCTAAGTCATAGAGGTGGTAAACTTACTAAGTTGAAATTTATGAGATTGCCATTTCTGTGATTAAAATTTTCATACTGACATTCTTTTAAATTTTCTGATAAACTCTCTCAGTTATTGAGTACCCTTTCCCACTTCTGTTTTTATTTATATTTCCTTTTTTATGAGTAGATTTGGTAGACAGAATACTAGTTTTACAGAATATTAATAGGTATTAAATTTGTAGGAAGAAGTATTGGATTATATTTGGAATGCTTATATAAACAAATTTATACAAGTTTTTTTTACTGCACTACTCTTAAGAGCCTTTCATATGCTTAAATGTGTGGTAAATCCTCAAAAGGAGACAAAATAATATTCAGTGTTTCCCAATATTATTTGAATACAAGGAACATCTTTTAATACTTCATGGGACTAATAGTCCATGAAACATGCTTTGGAAAATTTAGTCTTAGCTCCTGGTTATTTTGAAAAATTAACTTTTAAAAAAAATTTTCAGGGCACCTGGGTGGCTCAGTTGGTTAGGCAACTGCCTTCGGCTCAGGTCA